TGACTGCTCAGATTAGTTTTGAAAACAGCATTCCCAACAGCTGCTGCAGACATAACCAGAAGTCAATATACAACACTATATACAAACAAGCCTTGGGGCCACAACTAATCTAATGTGTTTCGATGGCAGGGGTGTTTGGGTTGCCTTGCTTATCAAGAAGACAGAAGAGTCATACATAGCGAGTGAAGAAGTGAATGGGCTCTGATAGTGCTGCTGATGGGAAAAGTGTAAAGATGTGTCTTGGAAGAGGAGTCAAGAGGTCAACCTGGCTGCAGGGAAGCACCTGGGGAAATATGCATCTGGGTGCCAATAAGAACGCTCTAGAGTACCAAATTCCTCAACCTTTGATTAAAAGAAGAAAAACTCACTGCCTACATTGCACAGGCACCCAGTGTCCTTCAGGCACAAATCCTGAAGGTCTATTTGATTATACAGAGAGGCATGCAGCTGGGTGCCAAGCGTGCAGCAGACCTGCCCCCTTTGCCTACCTGAATCACACTAAAATAGGGAAGGCAAAGGGGACAAATAAATTCTATTGAATAAACATGATTCCCATTCCCAATTTTCTTTCCTTCCTACACAGCCAACACTTTTTAATCATCTTGTGTCAGTACAATGTCTTGTTCTGAAACAGCAACATGAGATGAATCTGCTTATCTTTGACAGCACAAACTATTCCTGTCAGGGTTTTGCTCAGAGCAAGTGTTTCTCCACATCTCTGTAGACTGGCCATTTCCTCGGTGCCAGTTTCTGCCACACCAAAAAGATAAACTGCTTTGTACACAATGATGATCTTAATGCTCTTACTTTCATATAGCTGTTCTTATCCCTCAGGAAGAATCCCAGTGTGCTTCACAAACATTGCCAACAGATTTACAAACTATATATAGAAATCATTTCAGTCTCTACTGATGTACAGACATAGGGTGATCACAGCAGCTGTTTGGAATTACATTGCGATATTGCTCAACAGGTTTGGACAGGAAGGAGAGGCCACTGTATTGCAAAGAAAGTAACAGAGGAACTGCTGAATGCACAAAAAACGTGGGTTTTGGAAGTGCAGTTTGAATGGGATGCTGTTTAGGCATGTGCAGTTAGCCTATTTTCCAAAAAAGCATAACAGAATAGGTAACATCTGCCAATGTAAGCATTATATTATTCGTGTTGGTATCTGCAAATATACCGTATTTGCATGTCCAGGTCAGGCAGTTATTAAATTATAACCAATTATAAAAAGTGCATGGACTTAGTCCTTTGTTGAATGCCTTAGTCCCAGAAGGCTCGCCTATGTAAATTAGCCAAACCTACGGTTTGCCATTCAGATAAAAAATTTGCTTTATTTCTTTATACACAAAAAGCAGTACAGGTACCTATTTCTATATTTAGTTCTGGTCACTTTTTTTTAACAGTGTGTGTTTTATGAAGATTTTTTTGAAAAGGAGATCCCAGCAATATAAACAAGTGATGTAATTCATAGGGAATGAAATACAAGCAGCAGTACTAAGTAAATTGTCTACTTTACTGTCTTAATTTATATCTGGTTTTTAAATATTAATGATGATAGGAATTCTGGGCACCATATCTACCATGCACAGAATATGCAGACAAAAGGCACTGGCTTTGCGAGATCAAATGTAGAGGTTTCTACTGAAAATGTGAATTTAGAAAATTAAATGTAAATGTCTTGGACGTGTCACCAAAGCTACACTGTTATATCACATGTCACCAGAGCTACACTGTTATATCAGTCTTATGACTACTAATAATTTACTAATATATTTTTATAGCTTTTCAGGAGAACCACAAACCACAGGTTCCTCAGGGAGTATTTTTCCTGATCTAAGTACCTCTTTTGCTGGTGCGAGTGACACTTAAGGGAGCATTTCAGAGAGAAAATGCTTCTTATTGCAATATGCACTTTAAAATATTTATATAGTAATTTGGTGCACTTACCCATGTACTTCTTTCTGATTTATCCAGCATTTGTCCTGGTAAAGAATCGCAATGGATTTCTCTGAAGACTGCTCCATGCATTTAGAGACAGCCAGTGTATTTTTGAATCAAGGTCATTATCTGTAGGGTGCAGAAAAGGCCTCCAAAGGATAGACAACTTGGATAGCAATGTGCCAGCTTTAATTACTGCAGCCTAAACAAACAATTTCCATTGGAAAGGTCAGAAAGAGAATAGGCCAGAATAGGGCCATTAAGGCTGAAAATCACTTTGGTTGAAATTACTTTTCTTGATACCATTTTCCTGAGCAGAGATCTACCAGTCCTAAGGCTTGCAGAGAAAAACAGTGGGGGGAGGCTTTAAAAGGACTGATTCAGCAGGCAGAGTACACCAGGGAGGCAAAGCTGGCTACACAGAAGGCACAGAGATGAAGGCAAGAGGCTGTTGATTAGGTGCATACTAAAGGGAGTGATCGAAAGCAAGAGGTGAGACCTGTTCTACAGAGATAAGCCCTCATAAATTTATGCCATTTTTCTCCATGCAAACCATAGCTAAAAGCTGGATATTTTAGAAGCCTTTTTCTGCCACCAGTAAGGGTCAGAAAAAATTCCTGTGCTCTACCCCACAAAAGAGCCTGTGGCTTTATGACTGTATTTTTCCATGCATGACTCCTATACTAGCATCAATAGTCTGGGAAAGGGCACAAAGGGCTCAGGCACAAAGAGCCCCAGCCAGAACACCGTCTGCTGCAGTGGAACAGTAAAACTGACCCCCACACACACCCCCCCACCCCACCCTTAATACCCAGAACAAGGATCTGACGTGCCAGCTCCCAAGATAAGATGGTAGCCAGTGCATGGAAGTTTTATGGAAGACACACAACATTATTGTCCCTAGATAAAATAGCTGGTCATATGCAGAATTCATAGCTGTGGTTTGGTCCTTCACCGAGCTATGAAAACACTTACAGCTACAAAGTCCATGTCGCCGGTGCTGCAAGGGCTGACGTAACCACTGCTGAATGTCTGGCTCCTTGGAGAGCTCATCAGTCTGGTGCAGCTGCTTGTGTCAGATTTTATGAGAAACAGAGACCAAGTGATACCTCTGCTTTCAAACATTGTCCCCAAACCGACAGGAGTCCCTACCCCAGATCATGCCTGAATCAATGCCAGGGCATTTAATTACTTCCAGCCAATGTCGCCCATGGGGTGGGCATGCCACGGAATTGGATTGCAGTGGAACACCCCATGAGTCACACCCAAATAGCAGAGAAAATTAAATCCCAGTGTTGCAAGGGTTCAATCACAGTCCAAGCAGGGAAAAAAATAAGCAGTTTTTTCCTATTGATTTCTTCTTCCAGCTGGGGCTGCTGCCTTTGCATCTTTTCACACAATCGCCAGTCGTGGACCAGTTACATTTTCTGCTCCCACCACCACCTACTCTACACCATGAAGGCAGTATTCAGTGGTCTGGCTACAAAACATGAGTCAAAAAACTTATGTCCAATTTCTATTGGTGCCATAAGCATGACAGGGGTAAATATCTCTCTTTCTGTGTCTATCTCAGCTTATATTTCATTCAAAACAAAGTCCTGACCCTCATGCTTCCATACAGTTCACAGATGCCTTGAAAGCCTTAAAGATGCTTTCTCATAATGTTGTACTTCCTTTAGCATCTGGGGGGAGGAGGGAGGAAATCTTTAATAAATAAACAACTTCAATGTTGAAGGACGGAAAAGCTTTAGAACAGGATTAGGCCACCTTCTGTAACAGGCTACCAAACAAAAAAAATGGCCCGGATGTATTGTTTAAAAGATAAACACAATATAATGTCTTTTTAGCTTACCTAATGATAGACTTAGACTATCATGGTATGTTAAAACACTTGGGGCAATGCTCTGTCCTAGAGCTGAATGCTTTGATGCCGCAGGCAATGTAACCATTGCCTGAAGTGTGTATAAAGTCCTAAATATAAACCTTGGCCCATGAACTAAAATTACTAATGGAATTTGGCTCTAGCCACAGAAAGGGTTTAAAATCTCCTGTCTAAAGCCCTATTTGATCATGTTTCCTTTGCTGGTTGCAGTATACTGTATCAGATACGTGACTACCCAGATTCTTGTGTCGTGCTCACTGTTTTCATTAAAAGTATGTGTATTTCTGTTTAGGAATTATCACATAGAAATACCAGTTTATAGGTTATGGAGCATACATGCATTTAGCTTATTACGTCCCGGATGTATTGGCCAGTGGAGCCTTACTGCTGACAGCCATGCTGGGTTCAGGGGGACTCTGTGCTCAGGCCATGCCTGGAGTCACCAGCCACCTGGGCCTGGCTCAGATGCCAGATACCTAGAAATGTTTCACAAGTGACCAAATTACTCATTTTCATCCTGGTCAAAATTTCTGGAACCGCCCCCCCAGGGGATATGTCTTGGAAAGCGTTATGTATAGTAGCTCTAGTGAGAGCAGAAGCAGCAATTGAGCCTTCTGTTCAACCTTCTACATGTCCCAGACTAGTAATTTTCGCTCCATTTGCTCCCGTAAATCTGTTGCGAGGAAGAACAGACCCACAGAGGACTGATATAGCTGCACATTAAAAAAAAAAATTAAAATTAAAATTCCCCATTTGGTGCGCCAATTTTTTAATGTGCAAGGTTTAATCCTTGCCGGCATGAGAGAGCACGTGGCTGTTGCCCCTCCCCAACCCGCGCCGGTCGGGTCGGAAGTTAAACACAGACCCCGGCTAAAATAACAAGAAATTTAATACAACAGAGTGATAGAACAATCTGAACAACAGTATCAATGGTCACAACAATAAACAGCAATAACAGTGAACCAGACAAACGATATACAGAGAAATATCGCTAAATGACCACGGAGCAAACCCGCCACGTGTATGGCAAAAACCAAAACCAGAAGCGAAAGTAAAAAGGCTCCGCCCCTGGACCTGACGTCAGCATGGTATGAATAACCCGGCTGGAGATCCCTTCCCCCTCTCTCTGCTGGGGAAAACTTTACTCTATCCTGGCTGAACCAGGACACCCTCAAATTTTGCCAAGCCTTGAAACATGCAGTACTGGCACACACAGCAGTCATATCCGGGAGCAAACATAGCTTAAAAGGATCTTTTAAGTGTTTGGAGAATTTTATAATAGGACCATGATGTGTTACATTTCAGGCCAATGACGTGACAGAGATGTGCAGTTAATGGTTTAACCTTCTTTGCCAGGCTAAATTAGAGATTTACTATCTTTTATAGATAAACTAATGCCACAAACTTAGAGCAGCAATTGTATTTTTCATCTTAATTGGCAAGTCCATCATGAAAATTCTTTTATCCTTTATTCATCTGAATTCCCATTTAGAGTGTACTGTTCTACATAACTATTATAGCGTCCTTATTCTGATTTTAGTCTATATTCAGATAGTACAATGATGTGCTAAAACATGAGCTTTAGTGTGCTAGTTTTGAAGAAAAATTTGTTCCCATAAAACAACTATTGACAAATATCAGAATGTTGTGAATGTATCTGAAACACCAAGCAGCTCTTTAGCTAGCAAAAAATACTGAAGAAATGAGTCAAATTATAGATTGTATACAGTTATTTTAAAAAACTATTCTAAATGTATCCCTTTTCCATACAGATCATATTCTTTATATAGGATATAGTTCTTGAGAACTGGAGGAAGTGGAAACTTCTTCATGGATGACAATTTCTGGAGTCTCCTTAACCCCAAGAGTTTACGTATTTTCAGGCGACACAGATGTTTCAATGGGCGAGGGTTATCTAAAAACAATAGTGAGAGAAAAATGGTGGAAAAATCAATGCCATTAACAATGATCGTAAACTAGTTCACAATCTCAAAACATGCTCTAATAAAATTAATATAAAAATCTATTTCCTTGGGATGTTACTATTTTGCCACTTCTGAATAAAATACCATTCTTTTCACATCAGAATTGTGATGATACACAATGATGTTACTAGCAAAACTTTTTCTGTCAGATATCTGTTTAACATTACTGTCTCACTTTTGGAAATATGCACACTGTACTGTTTCCAAAGTACTCATCTGAACACCTAAACCAGGACTTTATTTAGCATAATGAATGGTAACTGATGAATAATTTCTTCTTTCCCTAGGTGCACATCTTAAAAATTGCATGTTGAGGCCAGACACAGCACCTTCCATTTCTGCTGTATCAGTAAGGCACCAGGACCAGACTTTACCATGCTTGGGCCTGTTGAGTCTTCTAAACAAATACATCTTACCAGAATATACATCAGTCAAAATGCTCAGTTTAATTTAGCCTTCCTGAACATAACAAAAACTTTCACCATAGTTAAGACTAGCAAATTATTTGGATGTTCCTGTGACACTAACAAAAAGGAGTTCCTCAGCATGCCAATGAAAATTACTGAAGCAAATTTAAATATGGGGTACAAGTTTTAAACCTAAATATTTTGGTTTTTAACAGCTGATGTTAAATCAATTTCTATTTTAAATTAAATTTAAAAGTCAAATAAAATTAATTCATGCAAAGAGAACATTTAATACAGTCTCCAATATATTTTTAAAAATTAAGATAGTTGAAAACTGGTCATTTCACCTAAGGTGAGTGGCTCTGGTGTCACCAATGGTAGAAGGTCCAGACTAATGTGAAGAGTAAAGTAAAGGTCCAGACTAAAGTAAAGCATACATTAAAAATATTATCCAATTATAGTACTAGTAATGGCAACTCCAGATGTCTATCATGTAAACTGGAGTTAGGAAATGACGGTACACAGATTGTGATGGCCCACTCTTTGTCACCACCTAGCACCTTGAACATAATGGGATCTAAAACATGCTCTTACAATAATCTTTGAATGATTAATAGACTTGAGAGATCAAGGAAGCAAAAAGAAGGATGGAAGTGTGAGCAATATTCCTCAATTGTCCCACATCTGTGCAATGACTGGTGTTACATGGGTTAATGAGTTTGAGAATTACCTCAGTTGTCTTGCTTAACTAAAAGGGCTTCCCACACAACAATGACATTCCTTACGAGATTAACTTTCACCAGGTGCATGTTTGCCATATTCCAGTCCAATTAATCAATTTAGGACCAGTGACAATAGATAAAGATCTGTCTCAATGTGAGGACTGGATGACAGGCACAACCTGGATCTTAGCTAGTACATACTGGGACTTCTACAACACTTCGCATGAATGTGACTTCACACAAGCAATTAAAGTCACCTATAATAAATCATAACATCATTAACTGGAAGTTAGATATTTACCCAATATCTGACGTATCTCCGTCCATTCTTTCTGTGTTTCTAATACAAACTTAATTTTTGTGCATAGAGGAACGTAATCCATGTAATCTATAAAAACACGAACCACTTTTCCTGCTAAATGTTTCAACCAGGGAACAGCAATAAAGTCACAGAACTGAAAGGGAAAACATATCAAGTTATAATTTCAAAATCTGTGCTGAAGAATGGCAAAATAACACATTTTAAAGCAAATACACAGGATAATTTCAACAAAGTATTAGCAGTGACCTTTAACAGTCATAAATTGATGCCTAGGTAGGTAACTTTAAAAGCCATTTTCTTCCATGCTTAACTTTTGTGATACCTTAGTTTGTCTGTACAGGCCTGAAAGACAGTAATTATTATAACATTGCTATAAGTTGTGGCAGTGTTTTGTTCAACAATACCTATTTGGAAACACACCTACTCTGTTGGTTAGGACAGAAACAGAAATTCCAGAATCCTGCCCCATGATTTCTTAAAATGTCCTTCCTAAATATCTAACATATGAACTTCAAACTAAAACCACTCTATGTACATAAATTTCTCTATCTCGGAGTAGAAAATGAAAAATAGCTGGTTTATCTTTAGAGTGTTTTAAAAAAGAATTTTGCTAGTATGCTAATCTTAATTCTGCATAATCATCTGGAATGTTTAAAGCTGGCTAATGAAAAGAGCAAAATTAAGAGAATGAAGGAAGGTTATGTATTTACTGGATTATCCTTTACTACAGAAGAAGTCCACCCAGGGAGAATCTCTTCCTCTGGAGTTGACCACACAAAAGAATTTCCAAAGATATCTTGATGCATACAGTCAAAACACATCTCCACATTATATCCATGATTGAGCAACAGCCTCAGCATCACCTCATCATTCAAAGCATACTGAATGGCGCTGGGGAAATGCGTATCATTAACCAACATGAAGTAGCAATTGACGTTTGCTCCGTAAGACAGAAGCAGCCTTACAACTTCATGGTTGCCAGCTCTCACTGCCACAAGAAGACAGTTTAAAGGATCCTTGTTTGGATTTGACCCTGCTTTGAGCAATATTTCAGTGCAAAGAATGTCATTGTTAGAAACAGCAAAATAAAGTGCTGTTTTCCTTTCATCATCATAACTATTTGAAATATGTTCAGCCAAGAGAGTATTGACATCAAAACCATTTTCAATGAGGAGCTCTAGACACTGCGAGTTCTGGCCATCTGCTGCAGAGTGAACAGGGCTTAACCCACTTTTCTGGATTGAGGTTTGGGACGTGACCGGAATGAGATACTTCAGGGCCCTAAAAAACAGTGAATAAAACTAGTTAGGCATCGCTTCCTGCATGAAGAAAATTACCCTCATCCAGCTATATACTAAATTACCAGCTAGACACTTTACACAGGAAGATCCGAACAGAAATGCCAGTTTTGAGCACTGTCAAATAGGACCTCTTGTTTAAGTTGTTTTAACTTAGTTCTAAGGCGTATGTTTTGCATTTTGCTTTGTTTATGCTAAAAAACACTTAAAAGTTAAATAAAACTGATAAAGCAGGCACTTCTGAAATACAAATGATCTATACATTTGGAAGTTTATGACAGTCTTCTTCAATATGACCTTGTGCCACACTGCATCTTAAAGAAAATATAAGTCCAAGCTCATACTCACAAGTAATGACCTTCATAAGCTGCTTTGTGTATGGGAAGCAGTCCTGCCTTAGTAGGCACATTGCCACTTCCTCCATATTCCAAAAGAAGGGCTATACAGTCTGGATTACCACCTCCGGCTGCTTCAAACAGTACTGATGCACCATCATCTGCTAAGGCCTGGACATCTCCACCTTGAAACAGAATACAGAGCTTATAACTATATCCAAAAATATTTGCAGATCATCATAAAAATAAGCCCAGAGTACTTTCCTCTTAGTTTTCAGACATATTTAAGTTAAAACTTTACTAAAACAAGAAATACTTCTTGTGACAAATTTAAAACTCAAAGGCAGAACAAGAGTTGTACAGATACATGTTCAAATGCTCACCTGAGCAGGTTCTGCTTTGACCTTGTGTGTTATAACTGAGAATTTAAAGAATTCTGGCATATTTCAAAAATACTGCATTTCATTAATTAATGCCAAAATAATTCTGTACAATGAATGAAGGGAGGAAGGGGAGGGCGGGGGAGTAAAGAGAAATAAAGAGAAATACTGCTTACTGTACAGCAGTAAGTCCTTCTTGACTGAAATGGACTGTTATCAACTCTGCCAATCCTCTCACATGCATTATGGAAATGTGTAAGCATCACTTCATTCTAGCAGGAAAACTCATATATGGTTCCTTTCCTTCCAACAAACCAAATCTTCTCCTTCATCACTACTCTTTCCTTCCTTCCTTTTCCATGATCACCCTAAAACACCTGAGCAACCAGGCAAGATGTATGCCAGTGCAGAAGTGTATTTCCCTTTTACCTGACTACATACCTTTATGAATAAGATGCTCCAGGACATCACAGTGACCATATTCAGCAGCAACACCTAATGGCGTTACTCCATATCCATCCCTAAGGTTCACATTTCCACCATTCTTCAGAAGAAGAGCAACAATGTCTTTGCGTCCCTGTTTTGCAGCTTCATGCATTGCTGACCAACGTTTTACGCACGGCTGGTGAATACTACAGTTGTGTTTAATCAGAGTGGATACCATTTCAAAAGAGCCCCTTCTTACAGCTTAAAGACATTTAAAAAATGAATAATAAAATTACATTTTCAGTTATGTTGTTTTGAAAGTTAGAGACATCTAATAAGTTTAGAAAAGCTTTTCCTTGTGTACTGATATGAGGAAATTAAAAAGAGTTCCAGTCCTAGAAGTCTGAGAATCCAATTTACTGGTAAATAAATGCTAATATCAGCTGCCTGGGAAATCAAGGTAAACCAATACAAGCTAGAAAATATGCCAGTTTGGAGCACAGAGGGCAAAAGCAGCACCTCTTCAATTCTGAGAAAGCAGAAGGAGGTATATCACAAGGAAAAGCAACAATAAAAATAACATAATATTTGAACACAATCCTTACTTCTAAAGTTGGTGCAAACATTCCAGTGTTCCCAGAAAATTCCACTTGTGACTTTGTCACCCAGTAACTCTAACCCTAGCATTTACTGTTGTCAGCCAAAGTATAGTTGACATTTGTCATATTTAAAGGCCATGTTCTGCCCTTTGAGGTTCCAGGTTTGAAGTTTTCACAGATAACTACACCTGCAAATTATTTACATAATTATAGTGATCCTGAGTAAGAGTCTAATTAACTACCTTCTGGAATAGCAGATCTCTTCTCTGGCTGGTGAGGCAGCTGAAGGAGATCAGTGTCATAGGGTTAGTAAATTTAACTTTTGTTAATGTCCCATTATACAAGTAAGAAGTTTTTTAGGAGGCAACACTCTTCATAATTATCCACAACTGCTTTGGAGTAGCGTATTACCAAACATACCTGGAAGCAGAAGTCATCGCACTAGATAGATACTTCTTCAGCATTTAACTTTGTGCTGAAGAGCCCTTTAATATTAAAAGGAGTAACTAAACCATGAGCATCATCTATTAAGTGTTAAGCACCTGATCCCTATTTCACTCGACTAAGATTGAAATGTATGATGAACGATATCTACTTCTACATTTTCAGTGATAAGTAAAACAAAAACATAAAAAGGATAACAAACAATACAGAGCTGACAAGCCTCATTTTCAGGAGTTTGTACAGATAAATATTTAGGAAAATAAACTGTCATTATAAGGGAGAAAGGCCCTTTTCATAAGCTCTAGTTAACTCTTTGCAGGATTCATTAAAAGCAAGGGCTGAAAATAGCTTTAAAGTTTTACAGACATAATTATTGAAAAGAGCTGAAACAATGCAAAGCAAGACATTGCAGAGGAACCTTCTAGAAATGCCTCAGGGTCTTAAAATGTTAATACGGTAATCACATCTGAAGAAAGTCAACAATTCAGAGCTGAATATTTTAATACTGATAATTGTATTATATATTGTATTTTCTTATATTGTATTTCAGATTCTCTTCAGAATAATAAAGATGTTTTGACATTCAAAAGAAATTAAAGGTAATATGGCTAAATTACTCATGTACAGTAAAGCTTATTTAAGTCTACAAATACCATAAAATCTTCCAAAGGAATTACCTTTCTTTAGACTGGGGTATTACCTAGAAACATAGTTGAAGCTTATTTTCAGCGTAAGAGGGAAGAGAAATAAGATGGGAGATTGTGAAATTGAAAATACCTGTCTACTCCTGAAGAAATCATCTAACGAAACTAAAAATCTCCAAAAAACTCCAGACCTCCAGAAAAAGTACATTCAAGTTAAAGCAACAGCTTATTCTTGTACCATCCTTGTATCTTAAAATGGTCAAATAGGACCAGGTTGGTAGAGGCCTTATAGCACCTGAAGAGACAGAGAAGGTACCTTGAACAAAAAAAATAGGTTCAATTTTCTTAGGAGAAGCTCAACAATTACCTGAAGGAGAATCTTTAAGATGAGCTCAGTGATCACCTAAAGCATAATGAGTGCTGATCTGAATGTTGGGTACATTTCATCAAGTGCTGGGCATTTATTTTCATCTAAAAAGATGACCAGCATTTAAACCACACAAGCAAAATGGAGTACTCAGGTGAGTACTCAACAGAGGGAAAGCACTGCCATTCACTCTGCTTAAACCCGGGGAGAAGAGGCAAATACCGATGAGAAGTGGAGTTTCTCCTTTGTCATTTGTGGTATTGGGCCAAACACCCTTTTCCAGCAACGTTCTTACATTTTCCACAAAGCCAGTTTTTGCTGCCAAAGTTAATGGTGTTTCTCCATCACATGTTTTGTATTCCCACATTGTTTTATAAGATGCTAGAGGTAAAAAAGTGAGAAAAGATAAAACAAAATTGAAGCACAAAGCTGTTAACACATAAAGCAGAAATCCTTAAATACTAAGCCTTTATGAAAATTACTTGTAATTATGTTTAACTTAACCCAACTAGTACTGCCAAACACAGTGAATGCTGAACAGTGATTTTTGCTGTGTCTGTAGGTTTCTGAACAAAATGTTAAAAATGGTCCAAGTTCTTTGCTAGTGTGAATTGATGCAACTTTCCCAAAAGAAAATTTGCCTGAATATTTAAACAACATAAGCAAGATGCTCCATGGAGGATCTGATCATACTTTTTTTAGTAAACATTTCTAGCCTGTTGTGGATGGCTGTTTATCGCTCTCTGTTTCTGTGCTGCTCCCCTTATCTTGTGAGATATTTTTATCTTACTCACCGTCTAAAATGATTTCAAGTATTTGCTGAATTGGCTGAGCTGCAGCCTCATGCAGTGGAAACCACCCTCTTTCATCAGCTTCATCCAAAGCATATTTCTGTTTCACAAGTTCTTGGAGCCCAAATACTTGACCTTAAAGATCCAACAGATAAATGAGATGCAGTTGGAAAAATAATACAAGGTAAGCTCAGTCTTGTGAAGGGACTACTTTATTTTAGGGTTTTTACCTTGCTTTATGGATGCTACAATTTTCCTATTTTCCTCACTAGGTGGTACAAAACTATAAAAAAAAAAAAAGAGCAGAAATAGAAAATATAAACAAAAAGTAGATGCATTGTATTATTTATTCAATATTTTCCGTTAGGTTCTCATCTGAGCCAACTTTTCTTTGAATACATCAGCTACAATCTTGATTAGCCTTGTGACCTTACGTTACACCTGTTCTGTGGACCTTCAGAGTATTCAAAGTTCCTGAGTTAGGCACAATTCCTGCTGCAGGCTGATGTGATAAAACAACTAATTTGGCAAAGGAATCTGACATGAACTAAAAAGCTGTATTTTCCCCACACTACAGAAACAAGCCCTTCAGATTCAGAAACCTTAGACAGTGAATAAGAATGTGATAGTGTCAGAATGTCAGTATTCACCAATGAAGGAGAGTGTGATGGTATCAGTAGTACCCTTTTCCCTGAAAAAGAGTTGAAATGTTTTTAGCAATACTTAAACCTCCATGAGATGGAATTTAAAGGCTGGTGCCTGCTAGTTCCTTGAGATATTTTGGTGATAAAAACAATTAAAAAATAGATCAGATTTAATAAAAAAAAAAAAAGAAGCTAAGTAACACGAGTACCCAATGGCTTTGCTGAGAGCTTTCGGTGAAGAGGGAGATTCCAGTCCTACAACAGCAGCCCCATGAGGACCCAAACCTTCATGAGATCCCATAAGAAATGAGGAAAGGTTAACAGTCCCCCAAGACTTACAGTTCTACGTCCTTCTACTTCAGACTGAGCAATCTACAAAATGTATTTATGGGATTATTGCTGAACAGCTTTATTAAAACAGAACTTAGCTTTGCTTGACACGTACACTTTTCATAAGAAGGTAATTGGCCTGAAAAGCCAAGGAAAGTATTAGTTTAGCCATGTGAATCTCATTTCCCTAAGCTATAGATCAGCTGAGCCCTACCTTTCCTAATCCTGAGAACCATTCTTAACCATAACATTAATATCATATATGAAACCCTGCTTGAACACACCTGTGGGTTTTGCTGTTGTTCTGGTTTGGATTTTTCTTGTACATGTATGTATCCAAGTACACAGGGAAAGACTGGGACAATTACAGAGCAGACAGATTACTAAGAAATCCAAATTTATTGTCTTTAAAGTCTGAGATTTAGAAATGTTTGAGAAAAACAAAATCAACATTTCTACTTTGTTTACTCTTTTCAATCATTGCTTCAGACAGCGCTCCACTGAGAAAAAGGAGTAATAGTCAAACTAGGAACATAAGGAACTAAATATTGATGTCTCAAAACACTGTTAAAATATGGTATAATCTCTAACACATGGAATTGACAGTACCTGTCATTATAGCTGGAAGACACTGGTGGTTTGGCCCCATTTGATTTTTGAATGCTAAGCTGTATGGCATACTCAGTGAGATCTTCATCCAAATCTTCTCTTTCATCCATTTTTTACAGTGAGCTATAATGATGAGCTATTTTGAAATACACACAAAAAAATACCACTAAAGATCATATCTTAAAGTATTTTTTATAATAAAATCAGGTATTTCCATAAATTTAATATAATAATGTTTTGGTGAATTTTTTCCTATTTAAAAATTATAAAATTCCTGTTGAAAAATGGTGACAGAAAAGAAAATAACCCTGGAAACATTTAGTCTAAACACGCCATTTGGGAAAAGCTCTTTATTGTTCACATACTACATTTGTCATCTACTGAAAAATACTGGACAATTTGTAAACCATAAAAGAACCTTTTCCTCTTTAGAAAGCTGTGGTCATCAATTCAGTGAATATATGATTTCCATGCAAGCATGAATAACGAAGAGTAAACAAAGTTATCACCTCATGAATTATTCCTATCAAACAGGCATTCACAAAGAATTAATGAACACAAACATATACATTTTAAAATTATAGACACAAAAAAGAAATACTCAAATTGTCTGAGAATTATTTACAGATCATCTGCAGTTCAGAATTAAACACAACCAGTTTTAAGGGTGTTCACACATTGTACTTATTCAAGATTTACACAAACATCAAATTATTTCAGAGAAGTTCTGATCGAACTCGTTCTTTTTTATGGGGAAAAAGCATTTTTTCCCACTTCCTTCATGCAGGGTGGCACTGGCAGCAGATGCAAGATGGATCCACCAACCAGAGCCATTTGGACACAGCATTTCGACATGCCAAAGCCCACAGCATGTCATTACAGTTTAGGTGGTGACACATCATCCAGTTCTGTAATACTTAAAGTGGGCTTATAAGAAAGATGGGGACAGACCTTTTAGGAGGGCCTACAACAATAGGGTACAGGGGTAATGGTTTTAAACTAAAAGAGAGTTGATTTAGACTAGGCATTTTTTACAATGATGGTGGTAAAACACTGTAACAGGTTGCCAGAAGCATGGTAGATGCCCCATCCCTGGAAACATTCAAGGCCAGGCTGGATGGGGCTCTGAGCAATCTGATCTAGTTGAAGATGTCCCTGCTCATTGCAAGGGGGGTGGACTAGATGACCTTTAAAGGTCCCTTCCAACCCAAACCATTCTCTGATTCTATGAAAAGTTTTCAGCTGTAACCTGTATTCACTTCACTCCTGGAGCTGAATGGGGATGTTTTCTCGAACGAAAAAGTAAGGGATTTGAGGGAGACAATACCAAATGCAAAACCTACTTTATGTTACTATAATAGCGTACAAGATTTTTGGACTTCACAGGTAGTTGTACAACAAAATATTACAATGGCCTCATGTCATTATCACTTTTAGTGATCATATATTTAACCCCGCCCCCCAACCAAACAAACAAAAAACCAAACCAAAACCACAAGCACTTGCAAATCTTGCTTTATTTTTACACTGCCAAATCATGGTCTAAGAAAGAAGACTAAGGACTTTGAGTCTCTGCATTACTTCTGCAGTCATGAAGTTTAATGGACATTCACAGGAGTTTGGAACACAAACCCGGGTGATGGTCAAGCCATGCCAGTTATTATTTTCAAGGTGTGAGAGTATATGGAAGGCTCACTGGATCAGTAACAGAATATGTCAAACCTTTTAACTACAGTCATCAGCTTAAATTCAGTCTGCTTATATTGTCAACTTTAACTATGGATTATGTTCACTATGTTTTTTATGTATGATATCACATCAACCGAATGCCTTGCTAGTAAATTATAATTGGAAGCTCAGGAATGTTCTTTACAACATCTTCCTGTAGGTTCTTGAAGTGTAAAGTGTAGTATTTAGATATCATAAAAGACATATAAGGAACAAAAACTTAATATAGGCCTAGCTGTACCTACCTAGGTTTTTACAAGTGGGCTTTGCTTTGGGTTTTGCCAACGTTTTTCTGTTTGATTTGATCTTAGTGGCTTAACATCTTTGTCCTTTAATCAGACTTGGGACACTAGATGCTGAATTATTTTTTAAAAAAGTTTTCAACTATTAGTCCTACAGTTCACACTAATGTACTGTATCTACCACACATAACACTTAAAGTGTTGCATAAATATTAATTATACTAAGCATCTGTTGTATGCTTCTCAGAGAACAATCACTGTGTGCTGTCCTAGTCATTTTGCAAATAGGAAAGGAACATTGTAGAAAATACATGGAGTCCGTTTTCTGAAAAAGATCTTCAAGGGAAAGTGCTAACCAGACTTCTTTTTAGACTGATTTCTTCATTGTGCCCATAAGTAATAGGTCAATCAAAGCACCACAGCCAAGGTTATAATCCCGTCCACAAATATCTTACTACTTGGCATATTATGAGACAGCTTGCAAACCAAAATGAAATTAGTAAGGACATAGAGTCATGTTAACTCAGAAGCTAAAGGTCTCTTGGATTCCAATTCCCACATAATGTAGTTTCCTCACTGAAATGCTGGCGTTTCAACCCCAAGCCCCAAATTAAGGTTGACATATGGGTGATTCCCACAGCCCTTCCCAAAGGGGGGGGTGAGTTTGCCTTTAGGCTTCCCCCCAGGGAGTGGCCGGCCTTGCAGGGAGAGCCTTGGGTAAAGGAGCCCCAGGTGTCTGCATTAAGTAAACAAGGGTCAGGTGTCCCACTGAGGGATAAAAGCTGGGACCCCTTGCAGGAAGGGGCAGTGTCTGTCTGTGAGGTGGATGCTCTGTGCAGAGTTCCCTGTTGGGGAAGGACCTCCTGCCTCCCTGGGACTGGGCTCCAGTCAGGTCTGGCTTTTGTAAACGCAGGCTGTGTAGAGATTCAGTATGTGGCTTCCCTGGTCTTATGTGTTTGGTTTGTTGACTCGGTTGTCTCCTGTCCCTTCTATGGGAAACTGCATTTCACCATTTATTCCACCCATTGTTGGTTGTGCAGTATCATTGTTGGGGTCAGTGGAATTGATGTCAATTATGTATAATCTGACTGACTTGTTTGTACCCCCAGCGCTCACCCATGTGCTCACCCTTTTGTATCAAATACAGTTTAGTTACTGGTTCATCTTTATGCTGGCTGTGTCCTTTATGCTAGGCCTGATAATTGGCAAAACACTCACCTCTTTCAATATGTGCTGGAACTGCAGCCCAGGTTTTTAACCGCAAGGATGGACAATCTGAAGGAAACTGGACAAAAATTTCCACTTCAGTCCCATTTTCTTCAAAGGAAAAAATATACAACTCTGGTCTTGAACTGCCACCTCTAATTGTAAAAATCTTCCACAAATAATAATAAAAAAAATATTAATGGACACATTTTCTTTTGGGACTTAGAAGAATAGACATTCATGTTATTCATAAAAGACAATGCTTTTCTGAAGGTCTCTCTGTTCCTTCCTTTTGTGAAGGCTTCAGCATAACAGTCCAAATGATTTCACACACAAGTCAGACTGATGAACTGGTCAGCACAATGCAGACACACCTACCAAAATCTTACACATGCTACCTGATGTTAAATCTGCTGCACAACATATAGAAGTCCTCACAGTTATCTGCTGGCATACTGAAGTTTAGGTGTAACTTCTCATACAAAAAAGATTTCTGAAATTACAGAGAATGATGACTGACTGACATCCTGTTGAACAGGATGGACAATATGAACTTCTCTAGAATTCTAAAAAACAATGGTAACAATGTTCTGAAACTCTTAGGATCCAAACAAGCTTATGAAAGCCTAGCAAATTTGTTGCAGGAAAAAAAAAAATAGTAAGAAATTGTGTTTTGTTTTGGGTTTTTTTTAATGTTTGCTTTATGCAGAAAGGAAGATATCCCATGTCAAATTCCCAAGGTGTACTACAAAGCAGCAACTTCAAAAAGCTACACAAAACAAAGCACCTGACCATCTTTTTCTAAATGCTGCCACAAGTTTCTTCTAAACCATAATGTAAAATTCCCATCATCAGTAAGGCCATGAAACTGAGCCTCTTTTCTTCATCTCTTGCTGGTAATGCACTTCACTGACAGGCACAAGAATTCTGAGTCAAGGTTCTTTTGAGCATTTATCTACACATTTTCATAAACACTTCTCTAATTCTCATGGCACCTTAAGGCTTCCATCATTTAACCCACAAATACACACTGTTCTGAAGACTGACAAACCTTTTAGACAGCAAAGATAAAATCTCTCTTAGACTAGCAGTTATAGAAGTGTATCTAAATAAATTAATCTACAACATCTCCTACCATCAGCTAAAAGTACAGGACATTTTAGAATAAATTAAATATTTCACTGGTAGCTGGGAGGTGCTCCAAATGAGACCAAACAGTTAATTTACATAAGAAAATTTATTAAGGAAATTTGGGAATAAAGAAATTAAGGAATTTACTAAGAAAAAATGTAAAATCCTTAATCTCGTATTTCTTCCACAACAGCTTAAAGGCAAACACAAGCTATCTTCCCTTTCTTCACACCTTTTGTTTTGAAACCCTCCATTTGAAGAATTCATGCCATTGCTGAAATTTCTGAAGCATCTTTTTAAAGAATCATGCTCACCCTACCAGATCCACATGAGTGGATCTTCATGCTCTGCATGCCCTACTGACATTGCTGTCCTTAGGAGAACTGAAACTGAAAATTATAGTACAGACAATCATATTATATTTATCTTTGAGCCTGAACCAAAAAGACTCCTGAAGACTAATATGGGCCTTAGATTAGACCCTCACATTGCAAAGTCTCTGAAAAAAAGGCTCTTCTGGTGTATTACAGAATCTTTATGAAGATGTTCACTTATGGTTTAGTCCTGTAAGGTGATCAATACCCTACAACGTCACTGACTCCAAGTAGAGTTAAGAGCACAGAGCATCTTGCAGAATAGTAATTTAATAAGAAAATCCTTTTATTTTCAGAAAAAAAATATTGCCTTTCTACCTCACATTTATCTCCAGATTACAGGAGGAAATCAGTTTCCAGGTCAACATAGAAACTTGCTTTCTTTTTTCCAGTCATACAACATCCATACCCATTTGGTCAGCAATCTCCTACTTCCCCAGACTGACCATGCCTCCAGGCAACACAGAGCTCTGCCTGAATACACACTTAACCAGAAAGGTCTCAGACGAGCAGTGTTTCAGAATTGTCGGGTGTATTGTTTTCAAATTATCTTATCCCACAGAAATTAAAAATATACTATAGAATGAGAAAGTCAGTCAGGTAGCAAGTGGCAGTGACATGGCAGAGTAAGTATAAGGCAAACAGCTCACCACAGCACAAGTGCTGGACACACTGCCAGGGGTCTATACATGCTTTGAGAGCCTGATTTGCTGTATCACTGCTTGTAATATGCTGTGCTGAAGTGACAAGGTCTAACTGAAGCACAGATGTTCCACTAGGATCACAGAGGAATATAATAGCACGGCTGGTACACTGAACATCAGCAGCAGACATTTCTGCCACATTACCTGATGTGACAATGAAAAGGCTGAAAAGCTCAGCAGCAAAATCTTCTTCCATTCACCTAGGAAAGTTTCACATTTACCAGACCCAGGCACTAGATCACTAGAAACAATGGCAGATGTTTAATCTAAGCCAGTTTTACTTTTTGTATTACCAAGAATATTTTCCTTAAACAACATTCTAAATAGTCTGATATTTTTCTGGTATTTTTTCCATTTCTGACTAAAAACTAGACATTACTTCTTGCTGTTTTCCTTAAAAAAAAGTTTTGCTCTCTTAATTAAGTTTCTTAATTGAAAAAACCTGAGGTACTTGTTAATCATGGAAGTTGCATTTTTCAAAGAAGTGTATCAAGCATTCATTGCTTTTAAACACATAGATATAAAGTTAAGGTTATGTGAGTGTTAATGTTATTCTGATTTCTTATCCTTAAAATAAACTAGACAATCCTAGCTTTGCTCTCTATAAATAGAAGGCCCTTAGACATGCAAACAGCTTATTCATAGCAAAAAAAAATAATTAATAGCAGTCTAAATTTGGACTCAAGTCTATTAAATATTACAGTTTTAAACTATTTCTCTGTTAGTCTTAATTGGCGAGCATATAATATATTCTCACCTTTTCAACCCATTATCTTGCCACTGTTACTCTGGGGCCTGCATTTTGAACCGCCAGGAATGGTGCCCCACAATCTGATGTGTCCTGTGATACTTCTAAAATTAAATACGCAGTTGCTAGATAAATTAAGGTCTGACCTTGTACAACTGTAACATAAGCAGACTCGACCCACAGGAAAGTATTACACATGACTTCTCTAAAATCTCATCAAATGTAACACAAGGTCTGAACAGTATAAGATGATTATCTGTGCCCTCATTGATTCAACAACTCTCATTAAGAAAATAAATTATTTGCCAACTTAGTCTCAAGGGCTACATTAACAAAATCTGATAACATATGCACATAAATTAAAACAATTCTGAGGTTTAGTGTTTAACTAGTTGCAGATCCTGCCATATTACATCACCAAACACTCATCTCTCCCTCTGAAGCTGCTAGGATGCAAAGCTTTATAGATTCAACGGCAGCCACTTACAGTACTTATTTGACTAGATTCAGTACCTTGAAATTGGACAGAGAAACAGGAGGCTCAGCACCACAGAGAGCAGTGATGCGAGAGCAGAATAACCTGACTGACACTGAGAATAGCTGTACCCAGCAAGTTAAATCACAAGCACGGGATGTAGAAGCTCGATACGTACCACTGATGCAATATCTCCATCCTGTTTTAGTTTTAACCAATTAGTTCCTATCTTTATCAAAATGAACAGACAGCAAGGGAATATAACAAAGTGAAAGAACAAACTTCCAACTTAACTTTAATTGTTCTCATGAAATGAAATTGTACACTGTGAACTCTTCTGCGCCCCATGATTCACTTGCATTTATAGAACTCTAAAACTGTAAGTTAACTCAGGCACTACATGCATCTCATCTTTGGACACAAGATCAAGGAAACCATTTAATGATGATAAATACTCATTGCAACTTCTTTTGCCAGTGCAACCTAAGTAAGCATGGAGAACCTCCAAAAAAATCTGAACAGATGCACACAGAAACAATGCTGAGACCCTGCTCTACTGTTGACTAAGAGGTAAGAACAGAAATATATTCTTATATAATTAAAAAATACCTAAAATGTATATTTATAATATATATAAACAACACAAATGTTTTAACTGCTTACCTTGAATTCTTTCATTTCCTTTACATAACCAGGACACTATCAGAACTTGTACATGTCCACGTTATGAGCCCAGTATTGTTTAGCTTTTCAGATATTTTTAATATTTTGCATTGCTATGTAAAGTGTCTGATTCTGCTCTTGAATAGTTAAAAGGTATAAATCCATCAGTCAGCTATGTTGATGCACATAAAGTCAGAATAAATGAGACTCTTCTCCAGATACCAAAGTATATGGCAATTAACAAGACTTCCCAGTGAGATAAATTCATTGGCGAGACCAAAAAGGGAAGAGAAGTCACAGCTATAGCAAGGCCTTCTTAGGGTGCCTACGTGCCATGTATTAACACACAGGATAATACTCCTAACAGAGTACCCAGTGCTACACAGATATTAACAGTGAAATGCTGTGTTGGTGGTTTTAGGGGTTTTTTTGGCTTGTTTTCAAAACCAGATAATTATTAAATGTACTCTGATACTACCTCTTGTGTCTTGAAGTTGTCATATTTTAAAAAAAATTATCTATTGAAACAGCTTGGGGAACTTCCTACTGTGTCACTCTGTGTCACATGCTTGGGTTGTCTAAACAGACAGAACTACTGTTTGAATGATGCTAACTGAGCTAATTTGTCTAAAGACTGACAGGCACAGAACAATTTGTGTTGTAGTCAGTTAGTGTAAACATAAGATAGATCATCTGGTTGGACTATCACAGAGAAAGTAAAAATGCAGGGATGATACAATAAAAAAGGCAGAAATTTTTAAACAATGTAATTTTGACAGGAAAGAGAGATTCTCAGTGCCTTGGAAAGAAACCCCAGGTCTCTCTGATGCAATCTCAAAGAACACTTGGAAGTGGTGAAGCACAAAACTCTGAATTCTGATATAAACTGTATTAATAACTTTGCTTTAGTTGTGGAATGGCAGTGGTGCATGTCTTATTAAAAGGCTGGCTTTCAGGGAGAACTCCATGATATTCTGAAACTCAGTTTGTTGCGTATGTTTACCAGTTATAGAAAACAGGAGCTCAGGAGCAGGCCAAAGGAATTAGAAAGATAAATCTGTCCAGAATAAACACTATAGAAAGTTACACCACAATTATTATAAAATCTTACTCACTATGCAAAATTCACCCTTTAACTTAGCAGCTAGGCCATAAGACAACTGGATCTTCAGATGAACAACATGTTCATCTCCACCAATAAAACCAATTAAAATTGTCTTTTAATTGCTGTTTTCTCCCACTCTCTCAAGTCCCTTAACTGAGTTTTCTATTTTCTGTCAGTATTTTACAGCTTTTTGCTTTATTAACTCATCCCATTAACTCAGTTACCTATTTGCCATATTCTATTACACTGATGCTTAATTTTCATTCTGCAGTTAATTACCTACTTTTAATATAACTTCTTGGTCAAATCAATCTCACGGTTAAAATTCACAGAAGGTATATGCATACTTCTGCTTATTAAACAAATTCCAGAATATTTATGACTAATCTCTGAGGTAGAAAATTATCAGCTTCAGGAAGACCTGACTGAGACATACATGCAGTTACAGCCTTGTAATATATGAATTTTGCTAAAAATATATAAACTCCTAATTGTTTATAAGCTTCTGCATTATTTCTAAATTAGACCCTATTCCTAGGCATAAAAATGCTTAGTTACAAAAGGTATCAGTTATCAATCAGAAAGTATTTTTTTATATGTATGTTGCAGAAAACTAGAATTCATGTACTATAAACTCCTACAAACCCTCAACATGTCAGTGTGAAAGAATCACAGAAGCTGACACATATTCAAATCACATCTACTAAATGAAAAACTCACCTTGTGTGGACATAAACAGCTTTATCTCCCAAGTACATATCACACAAGACTGCTCTGAGCAGCAGCCAAACATATTTCTGAAGCTTTAAGGCTTGACACAGCTGTATGACTCATGAAAGGGAGCTTTGAAATCAACTCTGAAGCTTGGACTACACTTGGACTCTGTAAAACATTCTGAAAAATAAGTCAGAAATTATGAACTTATAGTTCTGAAAACTCATTACTGGCAGTTATCACTTGGCAAAAATCAGCTGATTTCGAGTACTGTCACCAGCCACACAAAACTCATCAACCAAATCTTTACTAGAAACATGCTGAAAATCTGAACACAACAAACAGCACTTACAACTTGTGTGTGATACATTTCTGGTAAGCACATCTTTCAACAGAGCATTCCTCATCTAGAAACTGCTAACTTCTGCAAACTGACCATAAGCTACCTTTAGCACTTCCACGTAGGCAGCCTAATAGGAAACTTTTATACTTAGAAGGGATATTGAAATCTACCTAAGTACAGCAAAGCATTAACTGTAACATACTGCTACAGCACACACAGCACATCTAAAAGCACTGGGATCCAAAACCTGAGCTGCCTTTCCCTCAGACGCCTCTCATGAACAAAGACTGCGCACGGGCCAGTCTATGGCAGTTTCCGAGGCGCGGATGTGCAGCAGGTCTGGCATCCCCTCCCCACACCGGGACAGCCGGGACACACTGGGCAGCCCGGCGCTACACGGCGGGGAGGGAGAAGGAAGACCACCCCTTAAGGTGACAGCAGGAACAGGTTTCTTGGTTAGCTGGTAGGTTAGTATCATACACATGGTACAGACTTTAGTACTGGGGTCTTACAAAGACTTTGTATATAAACATGTATACTTTATAGATTTAATTGTTTATTATTGGTGACCTTGAATGTTACGTAGTGGTATGAAAAAAATAGTGGATCTTTCTTGACACATCTAGGTTCTTTCAAACATTTCAATGGAAACAGTTCCAGACTCTTTTGAAAATTTCTGTTAACTTACAAGTTTATAAGCCCCGATTAAAATATCCAGACTAAGATCTAAAGATACTTTGCAAATTTGCCTTTACTCATGTTTTTTCAGTACTATTAAGTTCTTGCAAGTTTAAAGATAGGAATATAGCTGTGTGACTGTATTTGTTTACAGCTGCATTTGTTAAACGTTT